AGGTCCTTGTCTCTTCAGCTTCTGCTTCCTGGTTCCTTGGAGGTTTCCATGTGGCTTGGCATCTATCTTATCCCAATTCTCTCTCCACTGGCTTGCTTAACCTCTTTCATATTTCAAAAGAGATTGTCTCAAGATACACTTTACACTAATCCTGCCTCATTAACATAACAAACAACCCATTTCCAAATGGGATTATAACCACAGGCATAGAGGTTATATTTTGGGGGGACATAATTCAATCAATAACCGACACCAACTTTTAGTTCTGGTTTTGTCAACACAACTGACTTGCTTCTTTGCCTTTCTGGAGCTATATTTCCCTTGCTCCCTCATTTTAGGGACCCCTTATAGCCCTAGATGATAAGACCGTCTTTCATCTCTGTCCTGGCATCTTTATCTGTCCCAATGAGTTCTCATTGCTCATCCTTCACCAGAGAAAGTCCAAACAAACTGAGGTACTTCACAACTCTGTTGTACTCAAGGTTACCTTTTTTTCTTCTTTGTTTATGATTCTCTGAAGCTGTCATTTCTTCTGAATGTGCCTCTTCCTTGTCTTTCATCATCAATTCTCCAGTTGCAAAGAGCATGTATAATTTCTGGATCAAATCATTAGTGGTTCCAGAACCATCACTATGATTGCTCCCTAATACAAGGAACTTCTCCTCCTGGGAATCAGATTCACCGAATGGCTCATAGTTTTCTGACGCTATTTCATACACCTCAGGAAGAAAGCTGAGGTGACAGAGAAAAGAGATGAAAAATATTTTATCTGAGTCCCTTGCAGGATTAAATGTAAATACAGCCAGATCATATAACATGAATCCATTTTATGGACATGATTGAAATAGTCCACATGTAGTTTGTGGATGAAATTTGACCCAGGGGCAATTTTATAATATTCTAACGGGAAATTAGGCATTTGTCTCAGTGTTTTAAGACTCCAGGCCAATATTATTTTCATCGCGTACTTAGGGCTGTACTTTGCAAAATCAAACTTGAAAGAATCCTTCCTGCCAGTCTTCACATGGGTTCTATTTACTAAATGGCAAACATTTTTGTTGTTATTTTATGACTTTTTAAATGTTCTTCTTCAATATTGTAAGTTTTCTGTTTTGGCAGTGACCAATATTATATAACTACTAATAAGGAGCTTTTTTTTTTTTTTTAATAAAAGAAACTGAAATGAAAACATAGTTCTTTCCAATATGTATCATATTCTATTCGCTGTTAACATCAGACCTATGTTGTCAGCACGAACCAGGAGCATTTAAAACACACGTGTGTGTGCACACACACATGCATGCATGCACACACATACACACAACCAAACTTGCATCTTGGAAACTAAAATGCCATTAATTTCAAATTATTTTCTTAAGGACTATTTCCAGCTATGGTATT